AGATCTGAATTTCAAGGATGATTTATGTTTATTATTATTGTTCCTTTGGGTTCCTACTGGAAAATAGGGCTTCAACTGCACGTCTCCACTTGCCACTTCTGTCTTGCTTCTGCTGTACTTTTCACCTGCATCCATGTCAGTTAGTCCATACTGTTTCAACTCCTCTTCACACGATCTCCTCTTTGTCACCCTTACACCCACATCCCACTAGCTGCTTCCCTTTCGGCCTGGTTCCACTTAAGCAATGGCCTGACGCGCGCGCCATGTCACCCAGAGGCCCGGCCTCCTCAGCGAGTGTCTGATCCATCTCTTCACTTTCTCCTGTATATTTGTTGGCTAGCGATTGTTTCTTGTTTTGTTTGTTCTCATAGTTTCTTGTTTGTGATTCTTTCCGGCCCCCCGGCCATCTGATCTGACCTTCAGTATAGAGCCAGCGAAGACAGTCAGTTGTTGGTTAATAAATGTCTGCAATATCCTGTTGGAAATATTCTTTGTGACCCACCAGCCAAGTTTCTCATCCGTATACAAGAGCTGACCGACTTGACGTTAATTGTATTGAAAGTCCGATAGAATTTTGTTGTTGATGCTGGCTGAGTGACGAAGATTTCCAGATTGATTTCAGATTGATGAACAACGTATTTCTCGCCTTCCCGATTCTCGCTCGATTTGACATCCTCGTCCGTTCCGACTTCCTGTGGTTGAGACAATGCTCGCTAGATAAGTGAGTGAATGAAGTGACCTCTTTCAAATCCCTCCCGTTGATGGTGATTGGCGCTGGATGTTGATGTTGCTGTTATTGTTGTTGTTGCTTGGTTGGTTATTTTCATAACCTCTGTCTTGTCTATGGTTTACCTAGAGTCTTGTCTTTGCTGCTTCTTCGACCAGTTTGTCGGTCGGTTTTCTCTTGTAAGTCTCCGATTTTGTGACAGTGACATCAAACATAAATCATCCCCGATTCATGTTTACGTCACACAAACTCGAAGACTTGCAGGCAGGCAGGCAGGTAGGAGAAAACCAGCAAACTAGCTGAATAGGCTGGTAGCGAAGACAGGACTGCGGGTAAACATAGAAGAGAAGACGGAAGTAATGAAGATAACCAATCAACCAACAGCAACAGCGACAATAACAACAACAAACAGCACAAATCACACAGGTTACTTCCTGCCTTCACTTATCTAGCTGGAAAGAACAATTTCAATTACAGGCAGTCAGACAGCACGGATGTTGATGTCAAAGCTTATCATGGTTGGAAAGGTAAGAGAAACCTTCATCAGTCTGAAACCAGTTTGGAAATCTTCTGCACTCCGCCTCAGCATAAAGAACAAAATTCGAATTCTATTCAACACAAATATGAATTCAGTCAGTCCGTTCTTCTTTACAGGTCAGAAACTTGCACTGTGCACCCGTGACGGAAAGCATTTCCAACAGCCTATCACACACTTTTATCGACAACTGCCCACTCCGCTGGCTGGCTGGATAGTTCCATACTGAAGATCAAATGGCTATCCAGATGGAACTAACAACAAGAAACTGTGGCTGGCTGGGAACAAACCAGCAGGCGACAGCCGATTAAGTCCCTAACATATATATGGGAGAAAATGATGATAGGTTGATCGAGTATATGTCGAGGAGGCTATCGATTGACATCGCGCGCCCATTGCATGCCATCACTCGAGTGGAATCCGGATGGGAAGCGAAGAGTGGGTGGTCGGCGAGATGGTGACACTGAGGAGATTGTGTAGCGAGGATGAGGATGAGAAGGTAAGAGATTATGGGCAATCGTGGAATCTCTCCAGATGAAGAGGACAGCATCAAATAGAAGAACGTGTAGATGTGTTTTCGAAGCCCCCTTATGTTCCACTTGGAACCCAAGAGAACAAAAATAATAAATAAGTAGCAACTCATTACGAGCATTAAAATTACATCTATCAACATTCTATTAACTTCATTTGTTATAGTTTCGTTACTGAAAATCATAGAGTGCTGCACAACCACTTCGTCGTCTCCTGGGTCTCTTCAACAGTATGCACACACAACTTCACCAGAGATCAGAGTCTTACGACCATCTATCTGGTTACGAAGTGTGACCATTAGCCATTCATCCACTGGAACAGAATCGAATGGTGAATGAATTCTAATCTATGATACGGTGCCAACATAAGCCACTGTCATCAGCTGGTATTTGTCCACCCAGTGTCGACCTGGTGGATTACATTATTGGTCATGACTTCTCACTAGAACTCCAGTCAACTGCATCCCACAGTCAACTACTACTGAGCATTAGATTAACTTTCAAATGTTAGTTTGCGGAGGATTTCATTTATTCCTAATTAGATCACGAAAGGACACCAGTTATAAAACCACCAAAAGTCACGAAGGACTGGGTAGTGGTGGCTGGAATTCTTGGACCGAATCTATCTATGGTAGAGTCACGTGTAGTGTTGAAGAGCCCCAAACCAGGAAGAAATCACCGTTTAATACTCCCTGGTTTTTAACCACTCCTTGAATTTGCTATTTTGTGATTCAACTTGAATGAAATCAATCAAATCCCTGAGCGCCTGAATTTTGAAGAGCATTCTGGATACTAAATGTGAATTAGGTTAAGCATATAACTTGGTTTCACTGTATACGTATTTTATCCTTCTCTCAATGACATACTACCTATCACCAAGAGTAATGACTAGAGTAAGCACAGCTCCCTGTCGGTTAATTTTAAATAAGTGACGCCAGTCTGAAGTTACCTTCGACGGAATATCTTATGTTACATGGTAAAAACCTACAATCTACGAATGTTTGGCATGCGATTCGCTCCCGCCAAATGTAAGATGATGTTACAGGACTGGACTACACTGATCCCTAGTTTAGAAATAGGGAGTGAAGTGGTACAGCACGTTGACCGATTCACTTATTTGGGAAGTACCATCAGAAAGTGCCAACAGGTTGATCTCTGACAAAATCTGGTCACGCATACAAAAGGCTTATTTAGCATATTCCAATTTACGCTATCTCAGGCTTCTAATAGACGTGATATCAGGCTGGGCGTCGACGAAAGGATGTGTGTATTGCTCAGCAGTTCACTCCGTCCTCCTTTAATGACTGTGAGTTAGAAATAGCCATTGTAAGTGGAAGACATGAAAAGACTAGCGAGCTGTCTTTGATCATAGGTACCAGCGTTCTATTTCCCCTCTGAAGTGGTATAATAGGGTGAGAAATATTGAGGTTAGGCATCGATCGAGTGCTAGGTAGTTGGGAGGGAGATCAATCGACGAGGCTGTGAAGCAGTTACATCAACTGAGAGAGATGGTTAGGACATGTTTTACGCATGCTTAGTCATACATCGCATTTCTCGCCAATGGGCAATGTTAGCTGTGACATAAGATCGATCACATGGGAAAAGAGTAGCTAGTGGTGGTGGTTGAACCAAAACATAGCTTCATCCGTCAATGAAATTCATAACAGCTAGTTCAAGTCAGCCAACCACCACGTAGAGAGGTGTAGACTATCAGGCTGGTGGGGAACTAGGCTTGGTAAGAACCAATGAAAACTGGAGACAACTGATGTTGTGGCTCAAAATCCTCGCTCTCAATGGCTGGTGCAGATGCATCCACTCTTTAAGATTTGTCAGTCATATACAATGAAACTCTATTGTTTACAATTGGTGGATGGTAGCTAGCAGTGGAATCCAGGATGCGGATTTCGTCCTATTTGGGACTCGTCAGCCAACTGGATGTACCTGCATTTCTCAGTGAGTGATGATGTTCCCACCGAGGCTCGAACCCAGTGCCCATAGTTTCAAACGCCAAAGCGTCAGGGTTCGAGCCTCGGTGGGAACATCATCACTCACTGAGAAATGCAGGTACATCCAGTTGGCCGACGAGTCCCAAATAGGACGAAATCCGCATCCTGGATTCCACTGCTAGCTACCATCCACCAATTGTATACAAATCAAATCCCCCGACATCGTCGAAGCATCTGCACAAGAAGCCGACATGTCAACCTGAGACCGAGCACTTCGGTCCAATCAATCGACGGGAAAATTAAAAATTCAATTCAAAACTCTATTGTTCTTCCATATTACACTTACTCACACTTCTGTTTATTATCTCTCTTTTTTGAACCTCTCTTTACTTTCTTCTCTTGCTTTTTATGCTACGACGGAGAGTGGCAACCGGAATTGCTGCACATCTATTCAAAGTTCTACACTGAAACCAGTCGGTCAGTCAGTCGTGATTGCCGCGTTTATGTCCAACTTGATGTCCTTATTCCCTATACACTGGATTTTTGTAAAGTATAAAAGCAGCGACATCACAACACACATATGATCCGAAGAAATGGACTGAAATTTACTAAAGGGTTCAGAGAAGAAACCTTACAAACTAACCTATAATTAGTTTAATTTTAGATTTACCCGTCGTGATTGATTGAACCGAAGTGCTCGGTCTCAGGTTGACATGTCAACTTCTTGTGCAGATGCTTCCACGATGTCTGGGCATGTTATTAGAATTTAATTTGTGGATGGTGACTAGCAGTGGAATCCACTAGGATGCGCATTTCGTCCTATTTGTGACTCATCAGCTGGATGTACCTGCATTTCTCAGTGAGTGGTGACAAGTCCCACCTAAGACAAAATGCGCGTCCTGGCTAGATTCCACTGCTAGTCACCACCATCCACCAATTAACCTGTAATTAGTTAGTGAATATTGATCACTTAATAAGACTATTGTCTGAGCCTTGGTACTCAAACTATGTATCCTCAGTTATCATTGTGATACATGTATAATCTTCAGAACGACTCCAGCTTTACATACATCTGAGTTGTAATCGCTTGAAGATTAATATATTGACGATATTCATTCAATACGCGCCTATGAAGATTTCTGAAAGCCATAATCAAGATGACATTCAAACTACAGTTGGTGAGTCATCATCTGAACGAACAAGTGTAAGAAAGACTAGGAACCAATTCAATTTGGTTGAAAAACGATTTGACGCTCACCTCTTCTCTACCTGGTTTAACGATATTATACACACATATATGGGAAATTTTCAACAATAAACAAAAAAGCAACACCTAATATCAATAATAATACTAATGATAATAGTTACTTGTAATAATCATATATTGACAGTATAAAAGAAAATTTGATCTTTCCGTACAAAAACGAAAGCAGAAAGAATTACACTATAAATTTAACAAAGTTTAACACACACACACATACACAGAAAATGGAGAGGCTGACTGAAACAGCAACACTGACAGACAAGAGTTTCATGCTTGAGAAAACGAAGTATAAACCAGAAAAGCAAAAACAGAATCAATTAGGAAGGCATAAGTGATTCAGTGTTATTGTTCAGCCCAAAAAGCGCATTTTGTTAACTGCATAACTCGTGGTTGCGTAACACAACACAACGCAACACTCGAAAGGAAATAAAGACGAAAATGAATGAATACAACGCATCACACACCCACGCACGCACGTACACATCTATGATGAGTCGAGTGAGTGAGTAGACAGACGAAGAGAATAGTTGAATTAAGCAGCAAAAAGCACTACAATAAGCAGTATTCTCATCAGCAGAAACCAAACGTTTTTTTTAAAATAAGAACCAGAATTTTGTGATTGGCCATTGGACAAGCCAATCAGGAACAAGGTCAACAACAACAACAATAAAATTAAACGAAAGATTTGATTGGTTGAAATCTGATTACGATTGTACATTATAGAAGTAGAGTATTTCGTTGTTCAATTGTCAATGTCGTTGCTCAAAATAGTACATGCACATCAGCAAGGAATGTGAATGAGTCAAGGTATGCATGGATAATTGGATTTTAATTTTTTTTTAAGGTACAAAATGTACAACAGCACAAAACACAAATATAGGGAAAATCAAAGAAGAAAATAATAGCCTACAACACATATAATAATATGGGGTCTTACATCGGCTTATTATTAAAACAAAAACCGCAGCGTATATCTTTGTGATATAACAACAAAAAAGCTGTATAAATATAATTAACAAATGATGTACGCACATATATGTATAAGAGTATATGTATATAAATATGTAATATAATACGGATGCTGAAAAAATCGATTAGCGTAGGGAATTTTGGTTTAAAAGCATTATTTTATGGTGAATTATAATATTTAGGGTGGGGGGGGCGGTGGTAACCCCACAAAAACTTGTCAATACTTATAGTGATTATTATTATTATAATAGTGATAACAATAATATTACAACACTTTTTTTAAAAGAGTACTATTCTTAATTTAGACAGCAGTTTGATTCTCTCGAATAGTACTTGTTGTACGTAAGAGTAGATCAGAACTGTCACTATTTGTTGTAGTAGTGAGTATACCACCAATAGTTGATAATTCTGGAGAAATCTCTTTAATAATAGAAGAACCATTATTCAGCATGGGTGTAGGTTGATGATTATGATGATGAGTAGTAGTCGGATTATTATTAATAATAGATGATGGTGATTTAGGCATTATTGTAGAGCGAATACCAGAATATTGACCAAGAAAAGATGCTTCTTCGTTAAAATTATCTAAAATAAACACAGACACAGAGAGAGGGAAACATTAAAGATGAAAGCGGAGATCATGGTGTTATATCATGAACAACTACGCGCACGCACACACACGCGCACACACGCAAAGCCAAACGATCATTATCAACACTAATAATAATGACACATAGTGTTGAACACACAATTCAGTGGAAATCAGCAGTTAGAAAGAGAAAGAAAAACATAAACAAAAGAAAGAAGCCTTTTTTGTTTAAATTTTGATCACTGTTCATTTTTTGTACTGAACAAAAATTGAGTAACTCTAGGCACTATGGTGACCACCACATAACGAAACTCCCCTGATAAACAACGGACATAACAACTTTGGTCAACAAATCATCAGATGAGCCCACCGTAAATACGCGTAATCTATTGAAACACTCTTTTACAGATTATTTAATTCAATTTAGACTTTCTTGTTGTATGATTGGACCGAAGTGCTCGGCCTCTGTTTACCACATGTCGGCTCCATGTGCGAATGCTTCGATAATGTCTGAGGGTCTAAGCTGAAGTAATTTGACGGACCGTGACTAGCAGTGGATGGAATCCAAGATGCCATTTCGCCCTATTTGGAACTAGTCATCCGGTTAGTACATACCTACATTCTCCAGTCAGTAAGTGATGGTGTTTCCCCTTCCACCCAAAAGAGGCTCAAACCCCGTGCCGCCATCATTTCAAACTTCAAAGCGTTAGCCACTATACCATTCAGACCACGAGAGCTGATTTGGTTGAATGAGTTTACGGAAAATCCAAATTAAATTAATTGATAACTGATACAAGTTGAACAAGAGGTGGAATGGCTCTCATGACCCAAGTGATCCAGTGGATAATGCTTTGGAGATTGATGAGACAATGGTTACTGAATTCGAGCCTCAGTGTGGGGGGGAACACCCCTAACTACTCACTAGGGAATGAAGGTACATCTAGGTTACGACTCCGGAGTGGATTCTACCCATCCACCTAATCACTCTTTTGTAGAAATCAAAGCTATCGTTAAATTGATAGTTGTTCAAGCGCCTATGTTTCTGTACATAATAAACTCATCCAGATGACTACCTTTCATGTTGTTTCATGAATCATCCACTGATCTACACAGCACTCCATGAACCTTACAAAAACAAAGATAAACAAAACACCTCTGTAAAGACATTACTCTTCATCCTTCTCTACATCTACGACAAACTTCCTCTATAAAAGCGCCTATTATCCCTAACATCTTTGCAACGTGTGATTCATTTACTGCCTCCTATCTCTATATATTCTCCGATTTTAGTATGAGCTTTTCTGATTGGCTGATCAAAGTCATCAGACACGTTCGTTTATCAGGACGTATTTCCATTTTGGGTCACTGTACAGTTTAGAGAGTTACCCCAAAAAAAAAAGAAAAAAAGAAACTCAAGCGCCAGAAGCATAACACAGGCATATTATGTTAGATATTATTATTATTATAAATACACAGACATTTAGAACGAAAAAAAAGCAGAGATTCAACGCGAAGAATATTGTTTTCAACAATTTTCTCATCTGGATGTTTTTTTTCCTAAATGATATTGAGTAAATTAAATCCCAAATTGACGCAGTCCGAGGAGGTGACTATTTTCACCCCAGAGTAGTTTCTTTCCTTTTTAAGTCAAAACTATTCAAATCACTACAATATGAGGGATCTGCTTGTTACACTGTCATAAAAGGGTAATCAAGAAATCAAGCATAATTGCATAACTGTATATATTACTGATTATATTGATTAATCGAGTTGAGTAGCCATATATCGAAGTGATCTACACGTTTCGAACTAAAGTTGGGTTTTCTGAGCTGGTCGATTTAATTGAGAAGCTTTCGTCACACAGGTTTTGTTTCATACTAAAACCTCATCTAAAGATTTTGTCTAGAAGGATGACGAGAACTTCGCACTGAATTCAACCAGCTAGCTCAGAGAATCCAACTATAATTCAGAATCATCTCTACCTGAGTTACAAATCTTCGCCTTTATTTCAAAATCTTACGAACATGATGTTCACATCGGACAAGCTGAGTTCATCGACGATGTACCTCGTCGGTTCTGCTACTCAGTTCAGAGAGGCGAATCACTTCAAACCATCCTCCACCACCCACCCCTCACTGCCCGAAGTTTGGATAACTACTATGGGATCTTGTGATACCATTCAGTCAAGATCTGACTTGTAAGCACTACAGGTTGTTGATGTGAGTGGTATTCAACTACTCATCTCAATCCATCAGTAGTATATAGAGTTGAGGATTACCGCTTTATGACAGTGTCACATAGATAGATCCAACATATTCTGGTGATTTAAATAATTTCACTTTCCAAGGGGAACTGTGGGGTAATAATCACCTCTTCAAACTGTATAAAGTAGCTACCTAGCTAGTTAGCCAGAAATCAGACGGTTTGAACTGATTCGGCTCTCTGAGCTCAAAATAGTCAGTCAAGTGGGGTAACATCGCTGATAATGAGCTCAACCACAAACGAGAGATGGCTGTCGGGTGCTAAGATCACCTCGACCTCTTCAATCAATAGTATTGCGTGATCAACGTGCTCATATCATGAATTTCATACACCTTTAAAATATGTGAACGCAATTTATTTAGTGTTTGGTTCACCGATGTGATAACATCCCTGGAATAATAACACAATGCTGAAAGAATTCAAGGGGGGAAGAGTATTTAATGCAGCAGAATTTCACTGTTTCTTCAAAATCCCTCCACGAGAAACCATATCTTATGCGTATCGCTAAGTTTGACTGCTCGTGTGGAACCAGTTACATTAGACGTACACAAATAGGCAAGTTCACCACTAAATTTCTGAACATCAATCTAAATGGTTGGACAAAAGACAGACAAGGTCTCTTTGTAGCTGATTTTGGAGATCTCCTGCACTCCTCAGCATAAGCAACAAAATTCGGGTTTTCAGCATCAATGTTAATTCAATCTATCAGTTCTCGATTTATATGGGTCAGAAACTTAACTTGCACTGAGTTCGGGTCAAGAACACAGCATTACCAACTGGTTACTGAAGACGTTTATCAATAGCCACCAGAAAGAATTAGTAATAAGAAAGTCTTGGATCCAACGAACCGACCAAGAACCCATTGTTCAACAAATATGTAGGAGGAAATGGAGATTGGTCGGACAAACACCACTGAGGAGACCATCGGATGACATCGCTCGAGTGAAACTTGAATAGGAATGGACACGGGGTTGTCCAAGGGTGACATAGAGAAGATCAAACACTTTGGCCAACATATGAGGAAGTTGTCGAAAAATGATATTCTCCCCTCAATCTTCTCTTTTTGTATTGGCTTACTCTCACACACAGCAAAAGTGGATTAGGACACAGGACAAGTACAGAAACAAAATTTTAAAAAGCAAGAACAAAAGAGACACAACATTTGGTTAATGTAACATAGTAGCAAAGTAGCCAAGTGATTTACAACATTCATCATTATTATTAGTAATAGGAGTAACAATGAGCACAAGTTACTACCGATAGGCATTTGAGTCAATACACGATGATGACCAACTACTGATGAGAAAAGGAAGAGAGAGAGAGGGAGAATATGATGATGATAAGTAAAATAAATACATCATGTCAAGTTCAGAAAAAACACAAAATATAATACTACAAGGATACTATGTTTACATCATAAAACACAGATGTGGTGGACCGGTCCACACAGTTCAAACGACTCGTTCTAATAATTTTCTCCCTTTCCGGGTACGATCACCGACTGAAAAATTAATCAGTTAGAGAACCATTAAAAAAATTAAGGACTGGATTGTCGTTTCGTCCTACCCAGGAAATGACTCATCAGCAGTGAGAGCCCAGGACTCCCCACCCCCCCACGCCAGGAATCGAGTCCAGGACCCTCAGGATCACGAGATTCGTCCGTTGACAATTGACAGTCACAGAGTTGTAAGAGAAAACTGAGTGACTCAACAATCCTAATTTAACACGACCCACGAGACATTAAAATCGACGGGTATTTTTTTACGGAGGGGGTGGGCCGGCGACGACTCCTCACTAGAATTTCAGGACATTCACCTTACTATCACACATCCACTACCGATCAGTCAGCTAGAGATCGATATTCAGAAATTTTTTCCTTAGGTTTTCTAGGGATAGTGATGAATACATTTTGGTTCATAATTAGGAAAAAAACTAAAATCACTACCGATCATTATGGAAACGTGTGTGTGTGGGGGGGATCAAGTTCGCGTTCTTCCCTTTATTTCCCCAACACGTAATATAAAAAAGAAAAGCAGACAGAGACTCCTGAAGAACTTAAATCCATTCATAAGACTTAAATGCTTACGCAACTTAACGCGTAAGCGTTACACTCATAAAATCGTGACATTATTATGTGACACCATTTGAAGAAAAAATCAATAATTAACTATATGTTAAAAAATACACTTCAATATGATCATGAATATGAGAAGGTACAGTATCAAAAGAAACAACCGGCCACTTCACGAAACAGAAAAAAAAGTGAAAGCTATTCATTCAATTTTGTTCTCCCCCGTTGATCGATTGAACCGAAATGGTCGGAATGCGTTAACATGCCACCCTGCTAGTACGCACGCTACGACAGAGTCAGAGCATTCAACTTGGAGTAATTTTGGTGGATGGTGGACTAGCAGTGGTGTAATCCACCAGGATGCGTACTTCATCCTATTTTGGGGCTCATCTCAGCGGGATGTAACTCCACTCCCCCATCTACCAGTAAGTGATGGCGCCCCCGACTGAGACTCGAACCCAGTAGTAGTACCCATCGTTTCAAACGTCAAAGAGCAATCCACTAAGCTATTCGCCTCTCACCGCTCTCCAGGAGCCTAATGGATGACGCTTTGGCATTTGAAACAACAGGTGCCTTGGCTCCAAGTCTCGATGGGAACATCATCGATCACTCCTTCAGGAGAAGGTAAATCCAGATGATGAGTCCCAAACAGGACAAAGTGCG